CACTTTGTATCACTTACTGGGATTTTGTCTTACCTTGGTGCAAAAAAGATGGTCTGACTGCCAAATAACTTACTGTGAATGGCACTCCAGGCTCCATCAGAGATCTCTTGTCATTTTGCACTGGCTAGCACTGGAGCTTGGTGAGCTCTTAGGAACTGGCCTGCAACTGCCCGTGTTTAATCAGTCCAAGGCTGACTGATTTAGTGCAAAATTAATTTGAGGAAAACTCCCTGATGCCAGAGAGCTCTTGATAAACACGCATTCTCAATGGTCACAATATTGCCTCTGCAGTTGGGTGGGACCTTAGGCAACACTAAGGCAAATAAAGTGTACTGAAAACCTTAATCCTTCCACAGCTCTTGCCTTTTAGCCTTGCCATGCCTCAGATTGCTCCTATGCAATGTTAGGGTGGTAGTGCTTCTTTCTGCTCCCGTTGATGTCTCCTCTGTCAAGTTCGATGTAGGACTTCAGAGCTGTCAGTTGTCAGCCCAGAGATGTGCCAGCCCCATAAACCATACTTTGAGCTTCCCTCTCACCAATCTACCCTTTCAACTCTTAAGATTTTTCCCCTCTGCCCCTACCATACCTCAGCATTCCATGCTGTATGCTGGATCCATCATCACGCAGTGATTTTTACAATTCCTCATACAAAGTTACTGGATCCTGGTAACGTTCTTTAGGCCTCCTTATTGGCAGTATTCATCTCCATTTGTGATCCATTGCCTAAATATTGCCTACAAAATGGGGTTTGTTGTCTGCATGTAATTCTTCTGTAGGTTGATTTATCCCAGGTAGGTTTGACAATATTTTGCCAGAAGATGCGAAATCTTTCAGACAGTTTTACCTTAATGTTCCTGTTTTTCTTCAGAGCTCAGCCTCTTGAATAGGTGAAGGCACATCATTTGTTTCTTTGCTTTTCTATGTGTCTTGTTTTAAATACTGAGATTAAGAGCAAATCAAATGGGACTATGAATCCTGAAGGAACTTCTTTAGGTCCACTCTCCCTAGGTTAGGAAAAGCAGGTGTTTTAAGCATTTAGTTTGGTATTTTAATATGGTATAATTTCAGTACAGCCTTCATTCAGCCACCAGTGACTGTTGTGGTTTGATTAACAGCCTTGACTTAGAAATGTGTGCAGCCTGGCCAGCTGGTCCAGCTGTTGGCTTGGTGACACTGGCCAGCTGGCTGTCATTTCTTGCCAAAAAAGGGGACCCCAGATTGCAAATGCTGCTTCTTAGCTATGGGACAGACAGGAGTAAGGCACTGCGGGATCCCAGGCCTCCTGGGAAAGAAGCAAATAAACAGCTTCAGAGTTATATGTAGCCATCAGTCCCTATGTTTTGTAACCTGCCATGGATCAAAGTATCTGGGAAAAATTGTAGGCTGGTTCCTGTAACAAATGACAGTATATTCCTGCTGCTATCTGTTGTCCCTTTAGTAAAAAGTGGCAAAGGTCTGAAAGTTGGCTGTAAAAGGCCCAACCCTCCTGCTGCTGACCATGCAGCTTTCATTATGATGCCGCAATGGAATTTCTGAGGGGTTTTTTTCCACCACTACTCACACCTTGAAGACAAGGGAAAAAATTACACTCAGTATATTTATTCTGCATTATAGCACCTAAAGTTTTAAAGGTGAAGAAATGTCAGAATTAACATTGCCCATGAGAACCTTGATCCTCCAATTACACGAGCCTTGCATATGCATCAACACATGTAGGGTGTTGCAAAGTGTGGGCTCTAGGGCTGCATGGATAGCTTGACTAAATGCTGATAAAGAGGAAAGGGGGTGAACCTTAGTCAAGAGAGGGGACAATGGCAGGAAAAAGCACTGTACATAAAAAAAAAAAGAAATTTTGTATTAATAATCTGTAATGCTAATAATACATTAGGAAATCTGTGATATAGTGTGTAAAAAAGTATTGGGAAAATTCAAGTTCACTACAGTTTGGCTATTAAGTATTTTCAGTGAAGTAAAGTGAAACAACTCAAGGCTGCAAAGAAATGATCCAACTGGCAGATTAGTAAACTGAGAATTCACACCCTTAATTTGTAAATATAAATAGTAAAGTTCAGAAATGAAGTCATTAATAGACCTTATCTGTCAATTAACTTTCTTGATATTAATTTTTAATACTATAAAAGTAGTGTCTTTAAAACAAATTCTTCCTATGTAGCATTTTTGCTGTTTTTCTAAAATATTTTAAATTGAACTAAAAACCTTTTAGAACTGGTTATCAAACTGGTTCGTGTAACAATTTCTGAAAATTTTGCGTACTCCAAAATTTTTCTTACTCCAAAACTCAAAGTAGACCTTACAGTAAGTGCCACAAAACCAAAACACAAAACAGAGCTTGCATCTTGACTGCAGTTTGAATGCAAATGGTTGGATTAATGCCAACCTTGGAATATTCCAAATTTCTTCCATTTTGTTTTTTCAATGAGTCTGATTTTGTGTATTCAAACAAACTTTGCTGGGGTCTCACCATTCTCCGGAGTATTGTAAACTCTTGGTTTTCCTTTTCCCCTCAGTTACTGCCTGTAGAGATCAAAATGCTGCCTTCTATAGCAAAATCTACGGTGTTACCCCAACATTTCTGTTTTGTTGAGCTTTCATTAAGTCAGGATTTGGGACAAATCCAGTAAATTACATCCTCATAATAGCTCTGCATGGAGATTACAATCCAAGGAAGCTCTCTGGACAAAAAGAGTATTTCTGTCCTGTTTGTGGATTGCCAAACACACTGGGGTCCTGGTTTATGATTGCAGCTGAGACAGTACAATTATGCAGAGAAATAATGCAGGCCTGTTAAATTAAGTGATGAAGGTCATTTGATTAATTAGGATTAGCATCTCCCGGCCATCCACATGGACCAGGGCTGTATAGCATGAGCTGCTGTAGGTAAGGAAATAACTGTGTTCTGTCTTTCTGTGCAAACAGGGCACAGCACCCGCTGGTTTAAAGATACTTGATATTTTTAAGCTGTCATGAGAAATAAGGCAAGGGTGTGTTTTGTTAGGAAGAACTTTAAAATGTGTTCAAATTTCAGCGTGGTCCTTTGCAGAGTAAAAAAATCTGAAATTAAGGTGACACACAAAAACACCATGATAAAAATGTGAATTTTAAAGAAAGAAATTGACTAAGAGGAGGACAGGTTTTTCAGCCCTTTCTTTTCCTGGATGGCAGTTATCCAAGTGATTCACCCCACTAAAATCACTGGAATTTCTCACAGGAATATGAGTTAAACCATGCAGCTCTCAGTGTCTTGTTTATTACTTAAACAAGACTTAAACTGATGCAATTTGGTATTCATCTCCCTTTCCACTATTTATGGGGGTCGCTTTGCAATTTTGCATTTATCTCAATTTTTACAATATAAGTATGGATATCACACTTTTGTTTAGAATTACTTTTCGTTTGAACGAATGTCAATTGTTCATTTTAAAACAAAACAAATTAGTAGGCGTTCTTTTAAAAACAGGAAGAAGGAAGAAAATACACAGACATTTTGACTGAATGTGAAAGAAACCTATACAGGGAAAGCAGAATTCTTTTTTCACATACAGTACAATTTTCTTTGTTTCACATTTTGTAAGAATAGAGTTACCAAAATGTACACCAGCTTTTTACAAGAAATGAAAATAAATCAGTAAATGTTTAATAGAATGAATATTGGGATTAGCTAATATAAGGATTTCTTAGTGCTTCTCTAGCACATGGAGAACTTACAGAGTGGAGAGAGAAAGAAAAAGAAGAGGAAAAAAAATATATGCAAAGTAGAGTTATGCAAATGACCTTATCAGGGCAAGCAAAAGGCCTCTCCAGCAGGCCTGCCAACTCGGAAATAACAGCTATGGACACACTCAGCTCCCTCTTCCTGAGAAGATGCAGCTTTAGCCTGTGATGTTGGCAACCACGCCACGAAAGGAGATTAAAAATTGCCTCCTTTTGGATGTCTTTTTAAGAGATTGGCAGAGATGTTAAATGGATCCTGGAGAGGGCAAGCACACTGATGATATCCCAGTACCATTTTTTCAATTTCATATGGGTTCTAGCAAATGAAAGGAGCAAAGAAACCACTAGGCTTTGACAGGGGTACAGAATTAGTCCCAGATTTCTCTCGAGGCATTGGTTTCCATTCATCCTGACTTCCAATTTGAAGGGAGAAGGCAAGAAGAAACATTGCCACTGATTTTCACAGGAGATGCAGACATGGTTTTCAAGTTTGAAAGCCAGTGTTTTCAAAACCCTGAGCAGGCACTTACTGGTCTGTTGTTTGACATTCATCTGGGTGGATTGAATTTTTGGTCAATATGACATATTGGTGAGGACCTTTCATAGCTAGGGTTGGACTCAGTTGTCAGGAGGCAACCAGAGGGTACAGTCAAATGAAGGGGTTGGCTGAATTGTTGACTTTGGGTGGGGTGTACATGCTGAGGGTACATCCAGTGTGTCAGTGCTGCTTTCTTCAAGTTTCTGCTCCCCAGGCTTAAAAAGATAAACCACGTGTGTAGCACTACTTAAGCAAAAGAGTAAAGACTGAAGTGAACCGGGGCAAAAACAGTAACAGTGCTGTGATTTTTTTTTTTTTTTGTACAATGCATGCTGCTTACTCCTTGTTTTCCTTCTGATAACACCAAGGCATTTACATACAAACAAAAGGTTCCTCTTGCCGAGTCAGCCTCCTCTTCCTCCTCCCACCTGATTCCGTTGGCAGAGTTGGAAAAGCATGACTTGTGACAGTGCTAAATTAATACGACTGAGGTTGGATTGACAAGAGGAATCTCCTCTTCACATGGTGTGTACACCTCAGGGTTAGTGGGGAAAAGAGGGAGTCTAGAAAAAGTCCAAACATTTAAAAATTAATCACAGTGCTTTCTTTTGAGGCTTAATCTTAGAGGGAGGTAGTGTTTCAGGACCTAAATCAACAAATTCGGTCACAGCAGGGGAAACACAGTATTGAACAGGACCAATGGCCATTCCAGCAGCTTTGGAAGAAGATATAAGAAAGAAATAGTGTAATTTATTAAGGAATAAGTCAGCTCACAAATAAACCTTTTCTGAATTTCCATTTTTGGTTATCCAAACACTTGAATAACAAGGGTGTAAATCTTTTCTGAAACTGCATTCATGTCCTCAGAAACTCTGCATGGTCTTAAACACAGAGGACTCCGTTTTCATGAACATTCAGTACTTGGGTCCATATGCTCTGTGTTTATTATCTGCCAGAGAGGTGTGAGACATCTAGTTTGCAGATTTTCTCAGGGCTTCACGGGAAATTTTTGACACTTTGCATTCCCTAATGTTATTTTGTGTGAAATTGCTGAAGAAGGCTTCTCCCACTCCTCAAATTGACAATGTGCCCGTGTCTGCATTTCTGCCCCATGCTGTCAGTGGCAAACTGATTGACCCGAGTCATGGGGCATGTGGGAGGAGGGAGTCGCATTAGTAAGCAAAGTATTTTAGAAAAGTAGTTTTCCACTTGAATCTTGTTAAGAAGAAAGAAAAGATGTGGGAATTTCAACTTGCTTTGCACTTATGGGTACCAGTGAGCTTAGTAATTTCTGTAATATAGGAATTATAAAAGCAAGCATGAAGAGAAAAGCTAAGGCAACCTGAAAAGTTTGGTTAGAAAGTGTCCTTTCTTCAAAATGTAGTTCACCATCCTTTCCTAATGTTTGTAATTGCTTCTGACCTTCTTAATTCTCCAGTCTGTCTTTTTTAAAAATGATGTTCCAAGCTTTGCAAGTTGGTTGTGAGTCAGTCTTCCCACGAGAGCAAAACCTTGAGATTATTTGGAAGTTATGATACAAAAGAATGAAGCAAAACCAGTTTGGACTTTGTAAACTAAGTCAGTTGTGAATCACTGGAAAAACAAAAGAGGAATTACTTCATGGAGACACCACTGTAGCTCTCCTGCCTTCAATGTCGTTGTGATTGTCTGAGATTTTGTGAGTTAAAGTGGTGTGTGAACAGATAGACCTACAAATCTGGATTTCTGCAATAGATAAGATAAAATAATTGGACAAATGTCTTTCACAGAGTTGACTAAAATTTGCCAATATACGGGGGAGCATAGCTAAGACAATTTTAATTAGACAGGTTGGTGAAAAAGCATTTCAACTTTGTTTTCTCAATATCCATATAATGAAATGTATGAAGACTCCAGTAGTTTCTGTTGGTTCCTGGGCACATGAGCATGGTATGCACACCCTCATGCTGTTACACTGAATCCCTTCCCTCTCCTGTCTGCCCATACTGTGATGTCCTTCTGCTCCAGTCTTTTATGCTACCTGGCACGACTGTCAGCCATGTAAAGAAGCCCATAGATGTTGTTAAATATTTCTGACAAGTGATACAATTTGATTCTCTTTCCCAGTACTTAAACGTATTTAACCTTGTTTAGTCTTGCCCCTTCAAAAGAGATGGCACTGTTAGTGGGACTGAGGGGTCAGTTCCTCACTCCTCCTGCTGTCACAGCTCCACAGCCCACCCCAGCTCAGCTCTGGGGGCTCACAGCACACAGTGCCCCTCTCCAAGGACAGGCATCCCCTTTCCCCTGGCACGTTTGCAGTAGTTCATTGATCACAGCAGCACAGGGATGGTCGTGCTTCCTGTGGGAAAGGAAGGGTGGGAAGGACAGAAGTCCTGGAGATAGGGTCACCAATGTCAAGGTCACTAAGTGTCTGTACCAGCACAATAGGAAGATGTGGCACTAGGAATTGTGAATCTGGGATGATACCAGCTACCCATCATTACTAGGTATCTGCAGCCTCTCTCACTGCACCTTTACAGTGGCAAGAAACCCAAAAAGAAGGATGGGATACAGCCTTCCTGTGATTTAGCTCATCCATTTATTTTCCTTTTCATTCAAAACTTGATCCTTTACTGGAACTGCATAGGTAAATCCTTTGCCTCTATTGACATTGCAGTCATTTTTCCACTCCTGGAAGCAAGCCCTTTTTCAGTGACATCATCCAGATTAAACTCAAGTGATACAGCAAGCCTATGCATTATTTTTCAGTTGAATGACATGTTCTGTAACAATACCAGCTGAAGCATTTTCTCTGTTTTTCTGTTACCACATCCAGCTGTTAATTCTTTTTGCAATTTGCCACCTCCCTGCCAGTTATGTTGACCTAACTGTTGGTGCAATTGTGCTCTTAATCATGTTCAGAAAGCTGATCTGGCAGAACCCAATGTACATATGTACATGAATACAGATTCTCTCTCTCATCAAGAACACAGCATAGCTCCTCCATCAAATGCACTGACACATCAATGTAGTGGCCAGAAAACATGACAAAGTCAACAGAGTCACTAAACACTATATATTGTCCAAGCTGTTACCTAGGACAAGCTTGTTTGAAGGACACTGTAGTTACTGCAGACACCCCAGCACTGAGATAGATAGAAATTATCCCAAACAGGATCTTGCATGCTGTCCCAAATGATAAAGTTAATTTCTTATTCCTTGTAACAGTATTTTCAGGTGGTCCTGAGTAGAAATACTAATGCCTCAACTTTGTATGGCTTCCATAAAAATAATAAATGCAAGCTAGTTTTTTTGGGGCCCTGATATGAGAAGTTAGTGGATATACTGACTAGCTTCATAGCAAGAAGGAGTTAAATGCTGGAGAGGAAGCAATTCTCAAGATGCAGCAAAGATAATCGTGATAATTTATCATCTGATAATCAAAGAGCACACACTTAATTTGTTCTCATTATCAATGTATTTCAAGCACAAGTACCTCAGTATGAGAGGCCTTTCTGAGCACAAGTTGGACTGTGAGGTTAAAGGGCCTCATGGAAATGTAATGCAGTTACTTCTCCTGAATGGGTGATGTGTTGTAGTGCAGTTTGGAGTCCACCTCCGTGGCCTCCTTGTCCCCTGAATGTGGAAAAGGACCTCTGGCATCTAGAGCTATTCTTTGAAGCTCTTCACCTTTCTCTAGAACAGCAGTGGAGAAATGACTGATACTTTGTAAGAGCTATAGGGATTTGGTTCATTAAGAAACCGTCAACAAATTAAGCTAAATCTGGAGTTTTTAATCATGTCAGAAGTCCAGTTTGCAGCATTTTGGGAGTGAGAGATGTATGCAGCACGCTAAGAGTGGGCTTTTACCTCCAAAGATGTGCAGTGTCCAAAGTTGTAATTTGTACAGTTTCCACCAGTAATTTAATATTTAATGTCGCCTGAAGGTGGGTCTTTGCATAAAGCACAGAAGAACTCATGTACTGGTGTATTGAAGCAGGTTGTCCTCCTCCACTGGGATTCCACAGAGAATGCCTGCATGAGCAAGACATCCAAAAGCAAAATCAGTTACAGTAAAAGTATGACATACTTTTACCACATGCTGGTGGTACTTTTTTTTTCTGTGGTGATTTGCTTAATGGTTACAGGCAAAGTAAGCCATGGTTCTGGGCTGTGGTGCCAAAATCTGCTTTTACAGTAGCAGCACAAGTGCAGCTGCAGCTCAGGAGCCTTGGAGCCCCAGTGCAGAGGAAGCCAACAGATGAAATCTTGCTGTTAGGGCATAGACTGTTCTGTAGTGGAGCTGGCCTCACGTTCCCTGGAAACAGCCGGGAAAACATGCTCTTTGTGTACACACTCGCCCCTCCCCAGCTCTCACAGTCACAGTTGAGTTAGGAAACAAAGTCCCAGCCAAAATTCCTCAAGGGAAAGGGACCCAACTTCTTCAGGATGTGAGCCTCTGAGAACAAAATCTCCCTGTGAGAAAAAGGCAGCTTCTTAATACAGAGGATTATAATGCTGTTGGTGGTGTTTTGTTGATATGTGAAACTGAGATTTCAAAACTTTCCACTTGATTCAGCTGTACAAAAAGGACTTCCTGACCCCTCTCGTATAAAACTCTAGGATCTCTCTAAATTTGCATCCACCGGAAGATCAAGGTGGTGTAGCTGATGATAGGTTAAAGTGATAAATTACTTAAAGGAATCATCTTAATTTTAGGAAGCTGTATTTGTTGCAGCTGTCAGCTATTTCTTCAGTTTTTCAAATCTTTCAGCAGTGTTGATCAGGTTCCTAATCTTCAACCCCTCAGCCAGAGATCAAGGCCATAATGTGTTAAAAGAAAGAAACAACATGTATTGACAGTTCCTTCTAATATGGAGTTGTTTACGTTAAAATTACTGTTGTCAGGATGCATCAAATAATTGATACAAGAAGTGGGAAGGTAAAGTAGGTGTAAAGGATGTAAAGATGCTCTGCATGTGTCTAGTTATAAAGAGGAGCAGAATAGAGTTCCTGAATTTGATCCCTCCGTGTATGGGCAGGCATCCATTGCTTTTGTGCTTCACATCTGTAAAACAGATATAACAATCTAGTTTGTCTGCAGTTTTAAGGCACCATGTAGTATAAATGTGCAAGTGTTACTAAGTATCAGCAGTGGCCATAGCCAGTGCAGAAAAAATGTAAAGAATGCTTTTTTGTCCTGGAATTTTGGCCTGGATTAAGATTAAATTGGTTTGAAACAATAAAGAGTTGCTGAGAAAAAAATTGAAAGTTTTTATAATCCAGTGACTTCTATTGGCAAAACTGCTTGCTTCTGGCAGCATTGTCTCTTGAGCTAGCTACCCTGTGACATTGTCAGGGCTCAGCTGCTCTTGTTTAGGATATAGTTTTTGCACATACAAGGAAAAAACCAACAGAAGACATTTATTTCTGCTGCTTTTGGAAGGGAGCAGTAGGAGAGCAGTGTCTGCTCCATAGACAACAGCCAAAAATTGGTTGAGAAGTCAGGAGCAGATTAAGACTGTAAACAGGGAGTGGATGTCAGCCAGCATTTCCCTCCTCCCCATCCCATTCCATCGCACTGCCACTGCTGGTGTTGCACTGGCTGCTGTGGCAGGAATGCCGAGGTGTGGCAGCTGTGGGAGCAGCGGTTCGGTTCCTGGCAGCCAGGCCGTGTCCTGCTGCCTGGCTCACTGACCCCTGCTGCGCTCTGGCCTTCTCTGAACCTGCTGCCCAGAGGGAAAGAGCCAGCCTTCACCCTGCCCTGCAAGGAAAGCTCTTGTCAGGCTTCTCCGAAGGTTTTGCAAACAACGTGAAAGGAAGCTGGAGCTGTCTGCAGAGTTCTTGAAAGCTCTTGGACATGGCTCATGGAATGAGTGCCTAGAAAACCCACTGGTCTTTTCATCACCTCTGTGGTTGCTCACTTCTTTGGTAGCGTTTCCCTTTCAGAATCTCATATCCAACTTCAACACACAAACCAGCACCATTATCTAGACTGGTTTGTCCTGGCCTGGGAGAATTCTGTTTCAGGCCACAAAGGGCCTGCCAGCAGCAGGTAGGCTGCTCCAGCATTGTAATATTTTCTGTTTCTGACTAACCCCAAAATGGGGCAGCTCACAGAGGACATCCTGATATCCACTTATTCTATAGCTTCGCTCTGGATGATGCAGTGGAAACAGAAGGGAGGCTAGTGGTTGCTGTGGGTCAAATGTGGGTCTCAGTTATAAGAAATGCAGCACAGCTGGCCACCTTAAATCATTGGGGTTGCACTAGAAGCTTTAGTCTGACATCAGGTACAACTCCAAGGACTTCAGGAACTGGTCAGCAGTGTTCAGGGATTTTTCTGACTTGTTGAGGTCGGAGGTCTTAGACATAATTGAGTAATTTTGTCTGAGTTACTTCATTTACTAACTTGTCTCTACATAGAAAAGGGGTTGGGCATAGAGTGAGAAAGACTATATTCTTCATTTTAAATACTGTAGTGTGGCTGCAAATTTTGTGGGGCTTTGTATTGGTGACTTCATCTGCCATCATTAATCAGTGAGCTGTCTCAGCCCAGCAAGCTAATTTAGAGTCCTGCTTGTGCATTTGATCAGCAAATGCAAACCATGTGTAATGTCAGCAGGTCAGGCGAGGTGATGGAACATGGGATTTTCACCTCAGTTCCAGAAAGGGCCATAGTTGCTTCCAGGAAGCTGAGCTTGGCACAGGGTGTGGGCAATTGAAAAGATTTATTTCTCTGTATGAGAGCTTGTTCTAATCGAGCATTTTCCAATCAATATGTTTCTTACAGACTTTCCAAAGGCTGCATTAGGAAAGCAATTTTATTTATTTTATGACCCCGAAGCCCCGAGGGATTCAGTTGTGTCAGCTTCCCAGGGTCTCTGTACAGACAGTGGAAGGAGAAGGGCTAGGTCCCAGGGCACCACACCAGCAAAGTCAGCATGGCAGAAACCCATGGCAGAGCTTTGCTGGGTTGGTTTCTGTAGATGTCTGCACACATGCAGGCCCCAGAGCAGGACACCAGGAGAAATAAGCCTGTGCCTGTTATTTCTGATTACTACTGAAAAAGCTGCTTTGCCCTCTGTTCCCAGCAGTGCGGGAGATTCCTCAAAGCCTGGTCATTCTGATTACAGGCACTTTCAGACTATCTTAAAGAATGTGCAAGTCTCACTTGTGGTCTCTTTTTCTGCCACAATTCTTCTGTTCCCTATCCAATAATTTTTTTCCTCAACAAGACCTGTAAAAAGGGGGCATTTTTATCTGCTGCCCTGCGTTTCCTTTGTACCACTTCATACTCACCTCCTAAATAACTCCCTCCAAGGATTAGGCAGGATTAACCTTTCCTTCATTTCTACCTTTGCTTATCTCTGGCCCTGGGAAGTGCAGAGCCAGCTCTCCACTGTAGGATAAGGCAGTCCCTGCAAGCCAAGAGCAATGAACAGCCACTGCTTCTCCACTGCTTGGGTCAAGGGGCACCAGAGAGCAGCTCACACACACCCTGGCAATGCTGAAACGGTATCTTCCAAGCAGCTGTGCAGCAATTTGCACTTCAGGGCATTTTGATGTTAACTGGCAAAGCACTATGACACCTCTCTGCATTTTGGTAGTCCAGCATTCCAAACAAAGATGTGACACAGGAAGGGACTTTAAAAAGTTCCTCTGGCAGAACCTGAGAGGAGGATTTAAATCTAATCATACGCTTTTCTTCCAGACTGTGTTGCCTTTATACAGAAATTAAGACCAAAACACAACCTCATCCACCTCTCCTGCTTGACATACACCATCATATGCAGAGGCACATATTATGCTTTACAGCTAACAAGGAAAAATTTTGTTAATAACAAAGAAAGAGAGCATCAGTTCCTAAAGAGTTACTTGATAGGAGACATTCAAGTGTTCTGAACTTCCCCAGCATCATTTTCCCACTAAAGGCTCACAGTAGCTACAGACTTGAGCTGGCTTCCCTGATGCTGCCAGTGATGATGCATCTGTCCCTGGGTGTTTGGAAACCAGCTGCTGATTTGCATGCACTGGCCCCTTTGCTGTTTGCCCAACCATGCTAAGTAGTTTTTGGCGTGGGAGTGCGAACAATTCTGTCTGCCCTGCAGAAAGCAGGGATAAATGAGAGGTTTGTCTTTAGCCTCTTCTCACACCATCATCCTGCCTGCCAAGCAGGAGGATGGAGAGCATAGCTGAAGTGGAACAAAAAGACAAAACTTGCTATGAATGCTGTTTTCCATGTGTGTGCTGAACTGCGGCTGTGTCCTCATCTCGAAACTCAAGCAGAACGGCAGCTCTCGGTGGTACGGTGCATCACATTTTGCATTGGATTTGTGTCCTCAGATTGTTCCAAAATGAATCAAGGTGAAAACAGCCTGTGGTATGTTTTACTTCACATTTTAGGTGTATCTGTTGCATTCACTGAACCTAGCAATCATACTGTAAAATGCATACTCTGTCTTCCAAACCAGAGAAGGGGTTGCTGAGTGCAAGTGCTTTGCAAGACTTAAGGTTGGCTACATCTATTCAAAAAACAAAGTTGTAACCCCAACAGAAGTCTGTGGTCAGGTCAAAATATTGCTGGCTGTGTAGTTCTAAGTGCAAAGGTTATAGTGCCTGAACAGAGCACTCTGTTTTTCCATCCTCAAAGCCTGACCCTGCCTCAGTTTTCTGAGGGGCTCTCTGTCAGAAGAAGTGAACTCTTCAGAGACCATCAGCCTAAACTGTTCAACAGACCAGTACATTCCTATTTGTGCCCAGGTCTGTTGGTGCTTAACAGGTTTGCTGGCTACTTCAAAGTGTAAATTACCCCATCAGTCCCTCTCCATTGTACTTTGCTTTGCTGCCTGAGAGTAAAAGGAACAAAGAGTGGATTTCTTCTGCACTTGGGATGGTTACCAGCTTGTGCCTTGCAGTGTGAGAATTTATCATCCTCATCATTTTTAAGGTCATTTATAAGGTAACAGGTGTTAGAACCCGGACTTCAGGTGAGGAGCATGCTGCAGAAGTAGATAATCTATTAAGGCATCAGTGCATCACCCTGCAGCGTTGAAAAGGTGAGCATGGATTTTGCTCCCTGTTTAATGCATATAAAGCTGTCAGTTTATAAACATGCCAGTAAATTACTGTATTTTACTCTGCTGGAGGTGATGCTTGGAAACTGGCAGAAGACAGACACTATGCTGGATCCCACAGAGCCAGATTTTGATGGTTTGCATGGCTTTGTCTAACCTGCTTTCAGCTATTGAGTTCAAGAAGTTTTTGTTGCTGTTTATTTTTGCACTACACAGATAGAGACCGTGATGGGGACTGCTTACCAGATTTCAACCAGAGTCGCAAAAGCAGAGTTGGGAGCAGAGCCAGGTCTGATGCTTAAGTCAGAATTCAGCCTGGGAAGTCCATGGGCACCAAGAGGGCAGGCTGGGAGAAAGGCAGCATCCCCCACGTCTGATCTGCCCCTAGAGAAAACAGCAAAAACTTCACCATGATTTTAGCAGTCAGTTCAACAGGCGAAACTCTGCTCTCGTTTTGCAACACAGCTCTTGTTTTCCTCACTTTATTCTGCTTGGTAAATATCTTTGTTAGTTAAAGACAGTGCTGTTAGCTTCTTCAGAGAATAAAAACATAGAGATAAAAAGAGCCCATTTTCCTCCAGTGTGGGCATGACAATAAAAGACGATGGAGAGAGGAAAATAAGAAACAGCATCCAAAGAAGAAAAATAGTATAAGTGGGATTAAGTTTTCTTCCATGGGCAGTACAGGAAAGCATTTTCATTACCTTCTGATAGCAATGTACACTGTGCTGTAAAATCCCTTCAGCTGCAAAGCCAACCATCTCATGACCTTGTTTTCACAAAACCAACTACTTCTTCTTAAGAAGGGTCAAAGAAGGTGGCATTCAAGTTTAGTAGACACTGTACTGCTCATGAAATGACAGTTTCTGAAGCACTTTTTAGCAACACTGCTGTGCACCCCTAGAAAAGCTCCTGTGACTGAACTGGTTCAGCCTCACAAAACAAATGGGCATGTTTTTTTGAGAAACTAACTTCCCGGGAAAGCAGCAGGGCAGGAAGGGAGGGAAGTCAGAGAATAAGAAATCCATCTAGGGAAAAGCAATTTACTTGTTTTATGGCACCTTATGTTTTCCAAACACAATATATTTTAATTATGGGATCACCCCTGGGGTGGAGTGATGTGGCATATCCACCCACTCAGTTTAGCCATAGCCAGACTGAATTAGGCTGGCTGCTTGCTGATTCTCAGTAATTTCCAAGGGGTCCTAGGCCATATTACTCTGGGGCTTTTCTCACCAGTTTCAGAGGTGCTACTGAAACCCAGCAGAGACCTTGTTTGCAGTGTGAAGTGCTGGGTGTGTTTCAGAGCTGCCAGCACAGCTCATGGGGCTTGTCCCAGTCTGTGTAACTTATTTGGCTGTTCTAGGTCCAGCACTCATCAATCTAAAGCATCTCTTTGGGCATGGTACTTTTGTACTAGTTGAACAGAAGGCAAAAATGTACTGTCACCTGCAGGTGGGAAGTGTTGATCTGTGTTTGTAAAGAGAGTGATTTATTTATTACATTGTTATCTGTAAGGGAGCACACGCCTCATGTTGAGGTTATGGTGCAACTCTGTTCTTGTCAGCCTGATTTCACAGTGATGTTCTCTTTTGTTTAATGCCTCATCAGGTGAAGTACACATCAGAAGGCCAGTTAGATTTCTACATGACAGTTCTCCTTTGGGCAATTTATTGCTTGCATGGCATGGCAAAGAGGGAGGCAAAAAAAAAAACCACACATGAGCATTTCAAGCACTCCTCAGATGGTCTTGTAAAACCCTTTCATATGTTGTAGTCTGCCTGCATCACGTCTCACCTTTCTCTTTTAGCTACAGCAACAGCCTGGGGTCTGGAGTGTATTTTCTGCAGAAATAGCCCTTTATTCAGCAGAAGATGAATGTCACTCTGGCATTTTAGATGACAGTTTCCATGTGTCTGAGCAAATCTACACCTCACCCCAGTCCCTTAAAAAATAAAGATCGTACAGAAAACTCTGACCTCAATAAGCAGACCTTAATTCATAGGGGGAAGAGAATTTGCTTCATAAATAATTAAAGGCTACTACTTGTTTCTACAGTACGATAGTATGCTACAGTTGAAAGCTAATGGAAATTCTTGCTATGGCCATGCAGGCATCCCTTCCTCAGGTCAGCTCTGACCCTTTCTCAGGCACAATCTCAATTCCTCTTCTGACAGAGATTCAGTTCTGTATGCAGCTGTGGCTCTGGGACTTTCCAAAGCTGTTGTCTGGGAATCTGGCAAAGCAGCAGAATGCAATTCACTTCATGTTACCTCTTGCTAAAACAGAAATAAAAGGTTGCCTATCTGTTAAAGAAGTAAAAACCAAAACAAGAGCTGTACAACTCTCTCAGGCTTCTTTTAGTGCTTGGTAGGAGGAGGGTAATCAGATCTCAGAGAATGGTGTGCCAGGAAGGAAATTTCTTCCCATGTGCAGCATAAATTAACCAGGTGCAGTACAAGGAAGGGAGGTTCATCTTCCTCTAAAGCATAAGGTATTGGCTCCTGCCAGAGGCTGTGTACCAGAGATCTGATTAGATATGGCAAATTTTATGTTCCTATGCACAGTGGGTAAGCTCTGTAGCAAGTCAAACAATGAATCATGTCATGAGGGGGGAAGGAAAATAAAGCTTTTATCGCCCATTGGATTGGAGATAATCTCTCTACTTGGGTATAAACAGCTCTTCACCGTGCTGCCTTCTCTCCAGGGGAAGGAAGCTATTTGAAATTTCTGTGTAGAACAGATTTGAATTGTCATACCTCCCAAGCTTCTCTGCCTGGGCCAAATAAAGGTAGCAGGCAAAATGTCTTTGATGGTGATGTGGTTGGGCCTCTGTGAGTAAACACAATAGCCTAGTCTATATAAACTGTACAAGCTGGCTGGCAGAAAGGGAGTGCCAGATTTTCCTTGGCTCCTTGGAAAATCTGTCCCCAAACCAAATATCCCTACTATTTTACTGAAATATGCTATGCTCTCTTACATGGGCCTAGTTACATGAGTAATATTTGATTGCTGTACAGGAAACACAGGCTAAAGCAGTGACAAAGGTGGCACAATCTTGGCCCTGGCTTTCCTCTCCAGTGTGGGAATGGCACCAGCTCACGTAATGGCCCTGGAGGAGGGGTAGGCCTATGTGAATACACCTCTCTCAGGAATACAGGTGCTGATAATCACACTGATACAGGGGCTGTATTTAAGCTGCCCTTCCTTACAGACCCCACCCCAGCCGCCTGGAAAGGAGCTGTGGCTGGCTTGCATTTGACAACTTTTCATATTCTTGATCTGTGAATGTACAAGGGGTGTGATGAGAGAGCACACCTCTTTTCTGTGGAAGGACACACACCGAGGATGGATGGCACCAAGGACTTTTCCTGCTGCTTGCTCAGCAAATCAGAAGGAGCACGTGGAGGAAAATCCTTTTGCACAGTGGAAACCTGGAATGAAATAATGTCCTGTGAGCTTTCTTCAGGATGCTGAGTCAGTTCTTGGTTCTCAATATGTCACAGGTAAACCAAAATGCCAAAGGATTTTGCAGTCCAGCTTGGAGTAATCCTGTACCAATATGACATTGCTCTCCTACCGTTTCCCTTGAGACTTTGTAGGTTGTGCTGTGGGGAGAAAGGGGGGATTCAGTGATGTCTGCCTGTGTTCCTGTGCCTTGTCTCAATCTGGTAACAGAAGTGTGGTCTCTCTCTGGCCCAGGTTTGCAGCCGGTTTACTGGAGCAGGGAAGATGTGGCACAGTGGCTCCGGTGGGCGGAGAAGGAGTTTTCCTTGCGGCCCATTGAGAGCAGCACCTTCGAGATGAATGGCAAAGCTCTGCTGCTCCTGACCAAAGAGGACTTTCGATACAGGTCCCCTCATTCAGGTGAGGATTATTTACAGAAGCTGTGATTGCAAAGAGAGAGGAAGCTGCAACAAAAGCTGAAGAGGGTCAGAGGGAGAAATGTCACCTTTGCTGAGGTGGACTGGAAAAGGGACGGTAAAGGGAGGACAGAGGCACTTGTATGAGGCAAGGACAAAAAGGACAAAGAGAGAAGGAAATCCTGGTACATCTGAGTTGTAGGCATATTTGAATGCAAATTCAAACCCAAACATCCAACCTGTTTATAGTTAAAACTCCCTGCAGAACTCCCAGAAAGCAAGCTGCTCTGGCAGCCTTTTGTGACTTCCAGCTCTTCCTTGTAAAGGCTTATCTGTTCACAGACCCAGCTACAGCAGCAAGTCAATCAAGTGCCCCAGCCTCTTTAAGCAGCCCATATTAGCATTTTGCCTCTCAGTTGCCTTGGCTGAGGTGCTGCTAAAAGTGACTGCAAAACTCCTTCCCTGGGGACTTTGCCTCTATTTAACAGCCCCTGTGGGTTTTGCTTTTTTGCTTTTTTTACTGTACTCTCACATGTGCTGGAGTCCAGCCCTCAGCACAGACAGGTGTGTGAATCAGTCTGCCTATTGCTCAAATTATGTCTTCATTTATTCACAGGGGAAATTTAGAAATGTGTGTGTTGCCTGCCTGTATTTGTATCCCCTGTGCTCTGTCTGCTCCAGTTAGGCAGTCAGAGTAAGCCTTTGCCCTCCTGTGTCAGGAATGTTTAAATATGAGTTGGGAGCCTTGTTTTTTGTGAGCACACAAGGTACTCCTGTTAAATATAAAGGCTTGCACTTCAATCACTGTAGGTGATGAAAGAGCTTGGGCCAAAGTGGTGCCAGAATTGCTATGAGGAGGCTTCCAGTGCAAGGCTCACAAGGTGCAGGAGTATAGCTGGTGCTGCTGGAATCCAGCTGATAATCAAGCTGTGGGTCTGATTCTGCACCAACCTGCTTGGCCACTCTCTACCTGCAGAATCTGCCTCACAAAGTGTTGCTTATGTTAGTGTAGATAAAGTTTTTTAAGCATGTGCTTCAAATTCAGGATTAATTTTGTATGGAAGAAAAGACCAAACATCAGTGTCTGTTGTCACTGTAATACACTAATGAGAACTAATGCCTAGGAATGTTTTTTTGTTTTTTTTTTTAAATTCTGGTAGACCACTTGGAGTGTAAAAATTAACCCTGCTTGAAGAAAAAGGAATATTGAAAGCAGGGATGTGGGCAAGGACTGCAAGGAACACCTTTATGTATGTTGTCTGCAACTCCCCTTCCTGCCTGCAAGTAATGTTCCTATTCTTCCCCTTGTGTGCTGTGAGGGCACTTGAAATAAGCAGGATTAAAAATGTTTCTAGGCTGGAAATAGAGTGTTCCCAAAGAAGAGCCTTTGACTTGCAAAATCTCACTTTATTCAGAAGGTTAAGCTGAATTTGGAACGAAATAACCCAGCTAAAGGCCTCCTCCCTTGCATTTTGTCTCTTCCTTCCCTCCAGGTAGTCCCCACTGATAATAAACCTTGTGGAGGATATCTGAGTCAGTCCCTACAAGCTGAGATAACTGTAGGTAAAGAGCATTACCTCAGCATTTCCCAGAATTAACTGTACGTGAAATGTAAGAACTGTGAAATAATGTTTGCCACAGAGGCATTAAGTTTTTCCAGAGTGAGGCCACACGAAAGCTGTATCATTTCCCCTCATGGTTAAAGCAGGAGAAGGGCATCACTCCCCCAGCCTTGCCAAGAAAGGGGCTCACAGCCCCAACACTGTTCTGTTCAGGGCTGCCCAGGGAAGTAAGGGAGGGAATGGTGAAAACATTTTTCACCATCTTAACATTGCTGCATATGGGTGATGCAGAAGTCTCAGCTATTGCATTAGGTTAAAAAAACCCCAAAACCACAGCTTTATGGATGTTTTCACTAGTCTGTCCAACCAATCGAAAGAAGTACAAATTTGCTACCTTATTGCTCTGAGTGTTACAGCACTAGTTATTTATGATTATGCCACTGTTGAATTCAGTGATGGAAATTATGTGGTAAAATCACTTTTTAGACTTTCATGTAACTGGGTGCTCAAGGCTTTGTTTTTAATTAGGCTTTCAGATATTGCAATCACCTTTTAAAAATGCCCTGAAGTCGGTGCTGAGACAGTAAAAGCAGCCTAGATGTTAAAAATAAAGGAAACTGAACTATGGAAAGCAGTATGGCTTTAACTGTTTCACACCAAAAAATTCAAGTTGCCCACAAATTAGAATATTGGTAGTTTACAGAGACAAGGGAGAAGTGGTACACAGCTTACAATCTCATAGAAACAACTACTAAAAAAACCCCGTATTTGAGAAAACTCTCCCAGAAAATCTAAGGTTTCCTAAGTGGAACTTCATTAACTTCATTTTCAGATAATATGCAATTGCTGCAGCCTGTTCCTCTGTAATATGAGCAGTGACAAACACAAGAGCTGGCAGAATGAAAAGTCAAGTGGCTTCCTATCCTGTGATGTACAATTTCACTTTGAAATGTGTGACCAGTTACAGCAGACCAAATGCAAAGTACCTTGTGTGTTTTGTGTAGATGTTGGAATAAGGTCATCCATACAAGATGAAATTTATAAAAGGCACAAAATAAGCAGTTAGTCCACTGGTCTCCTGGATATTGTGGTGTTATGTTCCATTAAGGAAAGATACAACAATTGTGGTGCCAGGGAATGTCGTTCAGTTTTGCCACAGTCACACTCAGAAGTGCGATGTGCCTTTTTTCCTGTCAGAGGAGAACTTTGCATAGAAGTGAAATGCAGGATTTTCGGGTCTGAAAATAGCACCCAGGAGCCATGAATTCATGCATCAGATGGCTAAATGAGTCTTCTCATCAGTTATTTACATTTTCACTTCCTTTTTCCTGCTGTTTGTCTTTCAGGTGATGTTTTGTATGAACTCCTTCAGCATATCCTGAAGCAAAGGAAAGCTCATATGCTCTTCACACCCTTCTTCCACCCTGGGAACTCTATCCATACTCAGCCAGAGGTCACATTGCACCACAATCATGATGAAGGTAACTCTGTCTCATTTTACAGGAGCTGCCATTACAGAGGCAAGTAGGAATTATGTCCTTTTCTTGCTCCAAAGTTACTTAAATAAAGCTTCTCTCCTCTCTCTATCTCCACAGCTTTGAAACAATCAAATAGTCTAGTGAGTCAACAAGCCCTTCTCCATTTATCTTCTATTATTTTTTTCTGTTTCTAAAGCACCTTTAAAAGCTATGTCACATACAGATTAAAAAGCAGAGCATTTTATTGACCCTATTGATTCATTTTCCTCACACCCAGTTAGGTAGACAAAGTTGCTTTGTGCACTTTAGTATCCTGGAGATGCAGCTAAATGCAGTTGTTGGCAGAGCAAGGGAGGGCAGCCTCAGAGGGGAATATCCAACTCCCAGTCACTTCAGCTGGCTGGCTGGCAGAACATCATGCCAGAGCTCCTGGCACTGAGCCCATCACATTGCTCAGCTGTTGGGCTGGTTGAGCACTTCCTGGTGAGAGAAGTGGGCTTCTGCAGGTTTTCTCTCATTTTTACTAGTATAACTACAAGTAATTTACAGAATTACTTGCTTAGGTTTAGTAATGTGCACACATACCATGTCTATCAGAGGTGATGAAAAAAGAATAGTTAAGTTTGTGAAATTGCATGTTTGGGCTTCTACTGCAAAATGGGAGTGTGTTCCTTTTCACTGGAAAATTGGGGTTCAAATTTCTTTAAAAATACACATACTGAAGTACTTCTTGGATTTTTTTTTTTGATATATCATAGATAAATGTAAAACTTAAGCTTTTTCAGAGATCCCTTCTATGACAGCATCAGGCAGAACTCATTTTTTTTCAATTAAAAATGAATTCAATTTTCAATTTAAAAATTGATTTTTTTTTAGGAAAAAGTAGTTACTTTAAAAGTACAACTAGGAAAAGTAGTTTCTCCTTTTCTGAGGAAACAAGAGAAGAGAATATAAGCGAGTTAGGATGTCACCCTGGTCTCTGCTAACTGGAGAAAAGGTGAAATATTCTATTTGATATGAATCTATTTCAAGATTCAACATGGGATTGCAAGAGAAGATTCAGGGGTGCTGTCAGATCTGTACAAGTTGCCTGTGGCCAGTCTGAGGTAGCAGAGTCAAATGGCACCAGGAAAATCCTGAGACTAAGCCAGCAGCAGGACAGCTCAGGTGGAATACGGACGCTGCAAAGTGTTTCCACCCAGCTGTGTAAATACTCCAGGTTAGATGAGGTTCCGTTGGCAGAGCTGTGCAGGAGACAGTTGTCCACTGTATTCAGACCATTAGTAAAATCTCAGTCTTTTCCTCAAGCTTGGCCTTCACCCACAAGTATTCCCATTCTAAATTTCAAACAAATACTAGCTTCTCTCTCTGACACTCCTACATTTAACATATGGAGCAACTTTGACTAGAGAGGATTTCACAGGGATGATCAGTTGGCCTTTCATGTGTGTCATTAAAAAATACATATTTTACAATCTATTGATCAAGAAACAACTTAGATTTCGTCCTTGCAATATGGCTGCTGATAGTAGCACTGCTTTTCTTAGAGAACTCTGTGCTATTACTTAAAACTTCTCTTTATAATGACAAAAATTAGTTATTGGTTTGCTGTGAGAGGAATTTCACAAATAAGGAAAAGAAACTACAGCTTGCCTGCCACAAGACTGAGCAATCAAAAAATCTCCTTGCCAAAAATTTACAGACAGGTGAATTTGTTTATTTTGACATTACTTCTTCCTCCTCTTTCACAAAGTCACTTGGGAGGAGCTATCACAATTGAGTTTTCATTTTGCCTCAGCAAAATACAACTTAATTAAAAAAAAGGAGAATGAATGCGAGGAGCAGAACTTAACCCAGGCTAACTCCCAGATTGTGACAAAGCGGACAAATTTTACCCTGGCCCCATTTTGAGTGGCTAAACTTCACAGGTAATGTGTCTTCATTACAGTCTCTCCTTACTCCAGTGATCTTTTCAATTTTTTGGCTCTTTTGCCTGTTTCCTAATGGATTGTACTTATGATCCTGCTTTTAGATGCTTTCCCTCTAGTGGTTTCTTGCTAGGCTTAAACAAAGGGGGTTTGGCTGTTAGAAATCAATTGACTGCAGTTCAGGATATTGGCATGGAATGGGCTCTGTCCCTGCAGAGGGATGAGCAATGGAAAGTGAATTACCTTCATCTCCAGCGGTCCTTCTGACGGAGCTCTGAGTCACTGGATGGGATGGGATGCCGTGCAGGAAGCTGACACTGGCATTCCCTGCACTTCTTTCACGGGTAAGCAGAGAGTGCCAATCTTTGGGACTGTCATGCCAACAATTGCTCACTCTCAAAGTGCAGCCCCACCCATCCCTGTATGGATAGGTCAGCAAATTTCCTGGGAGGTGAATTTCCTTTCACAGCTTTGTCTTCAAGAGTTTTGCTCATTTGGAATGAAGGTCCAGAGTGAATCTAAAGCTGCCTGAAATTACATACCATATGTGCTCAACTTATAATCACCAGATGTGCCAAGAAATGAATGTGATGAGGATTATATTCCGTTCAGGGTAATTTATGGCAGTTCTTCTTAGAGCAGAGTTGGAATTGCTTTATGGCAAACAGCATCTTTGGCCAGGAGGGGCTTCTTTTGTTAAGTACTTTAAGAAAAAGATCTTGAAGGAAAGTGAACCATTAGTGTGTATCCATTTGTGGTGTTTCCTCTTCCTGCTTTTCCAAGAGTTCCTTGGTGTATACTTTCTGTTTTCTCTGTCCAGGTTCAGTATCACCATGGTTTGGAAGCAGACAGGTAGGAACACCTCTGTTTAGAGTTTGTCAGAGCCAGCTAATGTTTTCAGAGAGCTTGGTGAAAAGCAGGGCATTCCTTTCTACTTTAAAGTTGCTCCCTTCAGCCAAGGCATTAAATAAATAGGACAAACAGCACAATATTCTGAAGGTCTGTATCTGCAGGCCAAGAATAAGCACAGTGCATATGAATGTACAATGATGGGGGCGGATGGGCTTTAGAAGATAGTAAATTTGGGAGTTGATTTTTTTTCTGTTGTGGCAAAGAAAGAGGACTTTAAGGAAAGACAGGGTAGGTACAGTTGTAAATTTTTCTTCTTTGATCTTCATTTGGGCTATCCCACATTTTCTGGCCAGATTGTATTTAAAACTGTTTGGATTTAAGCAAGAACAATATATAGCTCTGGAGTTTCATGTCCTCCAGCTGTTCCTTTGTGAGCATCTTGAATAGCCATACAAATGCATTTTTCTTGTCTGGAACCACAGGTGTGTTTAATAAGTATTCTAGAGCAATGTAGGTTCTGCCTAAAATTCCAGGTTTTCCTGTAGACTTTAGTGTTCTTGTACAGATGCTATGTCACTGCCTGGCACTACATTTTCTCAGGACTTGAGCTTTTACCCTTTTCATGGGTATGTGGTGATCCATCTCCTGATGCCTGCCTGGGTTCCAGAGCAGCAGGAGCCCTTCAGTCTTCACCTCAACAGGGTTTTCAAACAGGTATCACTGCCTTGGCAAGAGAGCAAGAGAATAATTTCATATTCAGAGAAAATTGAGTGAACAAACAGCCTCCAATAGGCAGCTACTTGTTTCAGTTGTTGACGTGTACCCAGAAGTTTCCTTCTCTTATCACCCAAGGCTTTCAACAAACAGCACTGAAATTTGATCTTTGTTTTTCCTGATAAAAACCTGTTAGTCACTGTAGCTCTGGTGGTGCTTTCCTCTTTGTCAGTGGTTTCCTGAGTCAAAATTGATGGCCTTAGCTAACCTGAAAGTTTGCACTGGCAAAAGTTTTAATTTTATGAAAGGATTGTTAGTGATTTATCTCCCTACTACTGTTAAGCATCACATCTGGGAAAGTGTGTTCATGCAAAAGTGTTGCTAGAAGTCCTCCTGCAGAAGACATGTAAGGGCTTATATGGGGCAATCCATCAGTAGACACTACAGATTAAGTAAAAGAAGATGTCCTTATGAAGATGTAACATGCTCTTAAAATTAAGGCAGGGATAAAATATAGGGTTTAATAAAGAGCTTCCTACCAGTAGGGGGTTTTTTTTCCAGTTCATATTTCAGACTGAGTTATTCTCTACCTTGACCTAAGCCTCTACCATCTAAAACTTAATACCCAGTATTTTCCTGGAGACATTTTCCCTTTTTTTCTTTCCCTTCTACCTTGAAGTGCTCATCATGGTAGCAAGAGGAATGACACAGACATGAATGGCAGGAGATAAATTTCAAAAAAATTGTGCAGATACACAGTACAGCTAAATCAGATCTTACTTTCTTCACAAGTGTTCAGTCAGCTCCTCAAAATGGGATTTCTCTTAGTGTGTTTCCCAAGGAACTGTTTTTACATGGTGTTTCACTGTTTTCATTCTGTGTAAAAATAATAACTATCTGCATTTATGCAGTATTTTATCGGGCATCTGTAGGTCACACAAATAAAAAACATTTGCAGGCGGTCAGCAGTCGATCCTATACCTTGATCACAATACAGACAATCTGTATTTTGGGGACTTTTTTTTTCCTCCACAGATAGCTTTGTGCAGAGACCCTCGAGGCCACCTGCAGAAGCAGTCCACCACAGCACCCCAACCATTGAACTGTTGCATCGCTCGCGGTCGCCCGTCACCAACAACCACCGCCCATCGCCGGACCCCGAGCAGCGGCCGCTCAAGTCCCCCATGGATAGCACCTTCCGCCGCCTGTCCCCGGCCGACAGAGTGCCAGGGACAAGGCACCAGTATGAGAACAACCAGCAGGAGTCCTATCCTCTCTCGGTGTCCCCAGTAGAAAACAACCACTGCCCGCCTTCTTCTGAGGTGCTCCAGAAGCCTTCCAGCCCTCGCCAGGAGAACACCAGGATCATCCAGCTGATGCCCAGCCCTATCATGCATCCTTTGATACTGAACCCCAGGCACTCCGATTTCAAACCACCGAGGTTGTCCGAGGATGGGCTGCACAGGGACGTCAAGCCCATCAACCTGTCGCACCGAGAGGAGTTAGCTTATATGAACCACATCATGGTGTCTGTCTCCCCTCCCGAGGACCACGCGATGCCAATTGGCAGGATAGCAGGTAAGGGACATTCTATAGGCTACACCAAAGCTGATGCTCTTCATTCATAACTAACCATGCTTTGACTTAAGGGTTTCTTCTTTCCTTTTGGTACTCTGTGACATCAAGGGTTTACTGGCATTGTGCAGGTTTCACTACATCTGTGGCTTAGGCAGTGCAGTATTACTAGGCGAGTTTCATGACAAGTAAGCAGGGGTGCAGAACGACTTGCCTGTGACCACAGAATGTGTAATTGCTATTGAAACATTTGCATCCTGACGCTTGCTACCTCTACACCCACTAGCAATCCATTCATTTCCCAAGATACCTATCTCTGAAGCCTTGTTCTGCAAAGAGAGAGTTTTCCAAGAGTTCCATTCACATTAGTGTCCAATCCTCTGGACATGAAGAAACCCTCTGTCAGTGGCCTTTGAAATAATGCAGTGTTAAGCCCATTATGAAGTTGGCAGGACTAAGGAAATACCACCTCAGAGTCCTACTTCATAGCCTTTCCTGGACTTCTCACATCAGGATTGTCCCTTTTTACAGAAAGAAGGCTGGCTTTGTCCCACACAAACCACAGGCATTGTCTCACTTTTGTTATCGTAAATAACTGACATCACAACAGCTGAATCAGGAAGCTGAGGTTACAGAAAATGTTTCTTGTACTCCCAAGGGAACTGTAAATAGGGAGAGTGGGAAGAGGAATACAGCCACTTCAGAAATATGCCGAATGCCCTAATAACCAATTTCTTTTGAGACATGTAAATACACACCACACAGAGAAAGATTCCATGCAATTGTGTCAGCAGTGACCTGATGTGATCCCCAGCTCCTGTGAGGTATTACACATGTCCACAGAGCTACAAACACCTTGTTCTTTTTTGTCCTTACATGCCTTAAATTTGTTACAGACGTGGTGCTACCTCAGCTTTAATGAGGAAGATTTTCTGTTTTCTTAATATTTGCCACTTTAAATTCCAAAGATTCATATCTTACTATCTAGTCAAGATCAAGCGCAGCAAGGATCATGATCCTTTCACTAACATAAAGATGAGATACAGAAAATAATCCTTTGACGTTTTTCCCAGGCTGACATTTTTCTCTCTCCTTTTGAGTTTTATTACCCACAAAATTCTCAGCAAGTTAATAAATATACTTAAAGTTATGGCAGAGAAAATACCCTACTGGTCGCATCACTGGAGATTTCCTTCCCAGAAAGTGTTGTTGGGAGATCAAGGCAGTTAATTTTTTTTTTTTTTTTTTTTTTCAGAAGAAAACATTCTTTAAGAATAGACCCTAGTCTGAAATAAATGAAAGAAAAAATGTAGAGAGTATGTGATGGTATAATTTTTTTACTTTACTCTTAGGAATTTTCTTAAATAGTTGGGAATCTTTGGTTTCTGCATGTTGTGCAGTGGGTCCAGTGACACCAGCCCCAGTAATTCCCATGTCCTTTCTATCCCTATGTTGTTTGCAGGGCAACAGAGCCCAAGCCCTTGGAAATCTGGTCCTAACACAGTTGCTTGGCAAGTATGTGTAGCCATGAAAAATGTTATCCAAAGGCTAAATCTGCAGACTTAGGTGCTTTCACCTGCAGGCTGAGACCCACAAGCAAGGGTGGCATACCTGAAATAGCTGGTGAATTATTTCATGCCAGAAAAACCTGGAGTGTGTTCAAGCATTTGGTTCAGATGAGGGCAGTGTTTTATGGCCCAGGGTTGGGGAATTACAGAGCTCATGGTTAGATTGATTAGATTTCTGCTGATAAATTGGCCAGGGTACTTCCATCATTGCCCAAGTCCTTTAATTGTAAAGCTCGCATGCCTCATTTGCTGTACAGGCACAAGCTACTGCTTTTCTGCTTGGATTGTAATGGCCCCTGAACTGTAGAGACACCCTCTGAAGAGCTCACAGCTAATTTAAATGTGATAAAAACTGGATTACTACCAAGCATTTAGACAGCCCATGCTTCATGCCTGAAGTCAACTTCACTGGAGCTGTTGAATTCAAGGGCAGCATATTTAGGCCCCCTGGAAAGGAAGTAGTTTTCTACATGCTTCCCACCCATCTCTCAGCTCTTGCCAATAAGTGTTTTATTTTGTACGTCATCATAAATGTATTTTTCATCTCAGTGTCCTTTACTGCCATAGTTAACACGGAGGTGCTTGACCAGCCATGCTCGCCACTTCAGTGTGAGAGAGACCATGAAAGGTGTGAGACGTGGCTCTTCAATGCAAATGTACATCAATGCAGCTATACTCTTTAAAGGGGCTTTTTAGAAATCACTGGTATTTCTTCCATTTTCTTGATGGGGATGACTGATGGGTTGGGCAATGAAAAGATTTACCAATAGTCCAGTGCCAGAGCTAAGCACTCAACTGTTTATCCTGGTGAGAAGAGCCTTGACTTTTTATGGCTTAGCCACTTGCATGCAGGTGGTTTTCAGGGGAGGTAGTGATGACGAGCTGCTAGGGAAGCCTGGTAGGCTGCTGATTAAAACTTTAGGCTGTGCTCCAGAACATCTTCTGTTCCCAGCTCAGATGTTTTATATTGTAGAAAAATTTTCCCTGGACTTAAGACACCTAACAGCCTCATGAATTTGTTCACTTGTAGATTGAATGTGTTTTAAATGCAGCGTGCAATTAGTTGATGCTGAGAAAGAAAATAATGGTTTTGCTTGCTGCTAGACACAAATATTCTCTTTTCATGAGGTCGATCAATAAAGCTCTGGACTTTCTGTCAAACAAAATAATGACCTCTACTCACTGGCTGACTAATCTTTCCTACCTTTTATGTAATACCATCTGGCTGACTAATCTTTCCTACCTTTTTATGTAATACCATTTTCAAAATATTAATTTTACTGGTAAAGCACTTTGCCTTTTACAGCAAAGGATTTCAAGTTGAAGGTCTTATTATCTTTTAATCTAAGGCCATTTAACACATTTCTAGCAAAGCCAGAGGCATAAAGTATCTTTATATTACTCATTAAGGTCACATATATTATTCATTATTGGCTAGAGTTGATTTTGAAAATTGTGGTTAGGTATCTTCTCAACACAATATGCACAAGTCTTTTGCATAACTTTGTCAGAACTGGAGATTATCATGTTGAGATGACCAAGAAGCAGGTTTGCATCCCCTGTAAATACACCAGGCAAGGGATAAACTAACTCAGGCATTAGTTAACAGCATGTGAAAATATGAAAAATATTGGAAGTTCCCTGCAAAAGGGGAGTTCAGCAGAGCAGTGTAATGGAGAGTTTTCCCTAGTGGAGCTGCTAATGCAAAGCAGCAGCACTTTTGGTAGTCAGGTCCTAACTTGGACTCTAGGAAGCAGGCATTCTGTATATGGCTTATTTTTTTTCAGTAGTCAATCTTGGTTCCCCACAAACTATCTCCAAGGATATCTCTCCCTGTGTTATGAAAATAGATGCCTTTTTTTTTGGCTTTTTTTTTTTTTTTTTTTTTAATAATTGCAGTTTAAATCAAGAGGGGCACCTCAAATTAGCCTTTCTGCAGACTGGAAATTCTACTCCCCATGAACTTCAGACTGCAAAGGTTTTGTTATCAAGGATTTTAGGGCTTTGATAGCTTGTAAAAGGTACTTCCCCAAGGTGCAAGAGGCAGTTATGGGACTATCCAACTACAACAGGGTTGGTTTCATCAACCACATAGAGGTTGTCTTAGAAACATTCAAATTAAGCTAATGACATGGTGGTATTTACCTCACTTTTGATTCAGTCACTTAAAACTCACTAATACAATTGTAGATATTTCTTGTGAGGGGGAATACATTGCTGAGCAGGTCCCTGAGATTTCCAGCTCCCAATGTCTTTTCCTGTACCAGCTCTGAGACTGAAAGACTTGTTCAGTAATCCACAGCATGCTGAAATCCAAAGGCAGTTGAGTCCTGTGCCTGGTGTTATCTATCGTGCTGCTCTTATCAGCTGGGTTACCTTAGCAACTGGGTTGTATCTGACTTTATGAGCTGCCAGATTTGTTTCTTCCCCTTCAGGAGCCTGAGGAAAAGCCAGGCAATGTTTAAACTGTTGGGAGACACGTTGTCTACCACTGTATTGGTTAGGCCTGTAAAGCCATTGATTGCTGTTGGAATGGGAATTCCAACAAGATTCTTACCAACAAATTCAAGACAAGATTCTTACCCTGCTGAAGCCATGACAGAGGGCTGCCTCCAGCCTTGCTCCAGGTTTACCTCAGCCTCTCAGGGTGCCGCACATCCTGAGAGTAGAGGGGTGTAGCATGGACCCCATGGATCTGTGGCAAGGCGTGTGTAAGTTACGTCTCAATAAAATCAGTCTGATGGCCGAAACCAAAAATGCAGGCCCATGGTAAGAGCACATCAGCTATGAATGGCTCACATTCCACTGAAATCCACAAAGCAGCACTTGGGATGGGCGTAGGCTCTGAGCATGGGGAGGTCTTGCGAAGGGATTTGATTGTTTTGTGTGGGGACATAGTTTGGAGAGGGAATGGAATCATGGATTCTCCTCCTTTGAAAAAATTACTTGTGTGGGAGGGGAAAAGACAGGAGGGGACACTGGAATACTCCTTTCACAAATACAGTGCTTTAAAAAGGTGCAAATCAACTGGTACTTTTTTCTGTTAATACTCTGGAGTTGGGCTGGAAAGCTTTTAAATGAGGATAAGAAAAACTCAGCTGATTGAGCTGTCAGATTTATAACGATAGACATTTAGAGTTTAAACATCAAAAGACACCAAACTTCAAACCACTGCTCCTCAGCAGTGTCTCCTCACTATTTAGCTACTAGGACCAGTGCCCATGTCTGCTTCAGATGTGGCCATGGGACATTTACAACTGTGCCATAGGATAATATTCTGGGATTTTTTTTACTCATACACCAGCAAAATCCTTTATGCAAATGCACCACGTTAGTTTTTTATTTATAATGTCTTACAACACATTAGTTTCTTTTTCTTTCTGTACAAAACAGAAGAAGCAGGCTCTTTTAAGAAATTTGGGGTCAGCAGGCTCT